GACATATATATATATATATATATATTACTATAGATATAGATATAGATGTATATTACTATATACACATATATATTACCATATATATCAATATATATATATTACTATATATACATATATATTACAGTATATATCAATATATATATATACATATATATTACTATATATATAGCTGCGTTCAGTACGTCAGTAGCTGTTCTGGTGTAGACATAAAAAATCTTCATATATATGAATGATTCCCGAAGAACATGATTTTTTACTGACGTAGTCGTACCCTTTACCACCAATATCTGTCCGTCAAACTATATCCTTTTGCAGTCCAGGCCTCATTCACATGATATCTGTTGATAAAGCGTTTAAAACGTTTCATGCTTGTTTGCTTTCAATTTTACAATCCCGATCTGATCACAAGATGTCTACGTGACATTGTACTGATTGTCTACTATTGGTTTGGTACCTAGGCTGGTCCCTACTATAACCCATCGTAAACATATGTGTACTATCGACTGCCCTACAACAGACATAGTACCGGTTTTCTTTTATTGGTTTGGTATCTAGTCTGATCCCTACTATAACTCATCGGAACATATGTATACTGTCGACTACCCTACAACAAACATAGAACTGATTTTCTTCTATTGGTTTGGCATCTAGGCTGAACCCTACTATATCCCAGCAATAACATATCCGTGCCACATTGCCCTACAACATATCCATGCGACATAGTACTAATTTTCTTCTATTGGTTTCGTATCTAGGCTGGTCCCTACTATAACCCATCGGAAACATATCCATACTATCGATTGCCCGTCTGCCGGCCTGAGCAAATCAAGATGGCGACCTCAATGGGTGGCAAACTCGATGGTGACCGCTTGGCCGAGTCACTGTACAATCTAGAGTTCAAAAGTAGGTCTAAATGCACTAGATATCCGTATAGTGTCTGAAAGTGGGTCTAAATGCACTAGATATACGTCTAGGGTCTGAAAGTGGGTCTAAATGAACTAGATATCCGTATAGGGTTTAAAAACATATCTAAATAGACTAGGTATTCATCTAGGGGTTAAAAGTAGGTCTATATGCACTAGATATACGTCTAGAGTTCAAAATTAGGTCCAGATGGACTAGATATTCATCTATAGGTTAAAATAGGGTTAAATGTGCTTAATATACGTCTAGAGTTCAAAAGTATTTCTAAATGGACTAGATATTCCTCTAAGGGTTGAAATAGGTCTAAAGGCACTAGATATACGTCTAGAGTTTAAAAGGAGGTCTAAGTGGACTAGATATTCCTCTAAGGGTTGAAATAGGTCTAAAGGCACTAGATATACGTCTAGAGTTTAAAAGGAGGTCTAAGTGGACTAGATAATACCTTGATAGGAATTGTCCGTGGTTGTAGGCGTATGCAATACAAAACAAGTAGGAAGGGCGGCAGGTATATGTGCAAGAATACGATCTCAAGCAATGTGTCTATGTAATGTCATGGATAGTTCTGTGTAGGTTTAGTAGTATGTGATGAGAGATGTGTGTTAGGATACTCGTGTGTGTGCCAAACGGGCTGTACTAATATACCACTACCTGTGGGTTACAGGCGAGTTGGCGTCGTTTGGTGTCCGCTACTTTCTCAATGCTGCTATATATCAGCGTATATACACTGGGTTGAATGTGGTTGTATCAGACGTGGTGGTTGGGTAGTGCCTGTCATTTGGCTATAAATACGTATATGCATATATGTATGTATGTATGTATGTTCCATAGGCTCGATTGTCCGTAATATGGGCTTCCAAGCTTTCAATTTAGGGACTGGCAAATATCACCCTGAAGTTATTGACATTTCAGTGGACGCTCATACCGCGCGCTTAAATCCGTGTGGCGTTGGTATTGGCGGTTTCTGCCAATTATTCACACTAAAATACAGAAGACCAAAAAAAATGGAACCGACCTATTTCAAATTTCAAATCACCCTTGATGCATGACCTCATTGCACACCCCGCGAAGGATGCGCCCCTATTCGTTCCGTACACTGATGATCGCATTAATAAGTCTATCATTCATCTGAATGCCCGTCACTCGTACTGTTGTACACAACCGTCGTTGCAACTACAGAAAACGTGGACAAGGAGGTGCTATGTCCGCTCAAACTCAAGCCCAACGATGTGGATGATCTGGTGAAGGCTGTGGAAGAGCTCTACTACTTTGAGTTCATCATTGACGGTCTCTCTGTCTCCCATTTCGTGGGATACCACAAGGTATGGTTAACGATATGCCCGTGTATGTGTATGTCTATATGTGTATCTATTAAATAATAAAATATATACATATATATACGTATATATATGCGTTCTCGCAGTCGATCTCAACGGTGTGAGTGGCTATCTAGTTTGAGCTGGGAAAGCGCTATATTACTTCCAGCGCATCGTTGACGGTCTGTGCGTGTCCTTTATCGTCACGGTTCAGGACATATTGCACCCATGTTACATCTTTTTGAAAGATGGTATAGTGTCTGGATCTCTGGGGTGTATCTATGTATCCCACTTTAAGTACATTACACCTCCTTCCAACGCCAATAATTTGTTCACAACCGCTTCAATCGGCTACAGGGTGACGCCTACCCACACAACCACGAGATCTGGTTCTGGACCAACCACCACTTCTTCCTCTACTACAATGGCAACCAAGTCGTCACCGCCAACGTCACGGTCGACCGTCCCGTACAGCTGCCCGAGGGCGCCGATAATACGTTTGATCTCCAGCCCATCGAGTTTACCTACAGCGTCACGTGGCTGGAGACCGATGTGCAGTATAGCGACCGAGCCAAACTCAATGTGGGGTCACTCCAAGTGCACTGGCTAAGTATCATCAACTCGTTTGTGCTCGTGATCCTGATGGTGGGGTTTGTGGCGATTATCCTGATGCGTGTGTTGAGGAGTGACTTCCATCGGTACTCGCGAGATCAGGAAGATCTGGAGGACTTACAGGTGAGCTTATGAGCGTGCGTGTGTATGTGTTGCTGGACTGCGAGAGATGTGTATGTGTTGCTGGACTGCGAGAGATGTGCTTGTATTTAGGAATTTACGCGTTCACTTATATGAGGACATACGCATGCATATATGTATATATATGTATATACATGTATACTTTATATACATGTATACTTTATATATATGTATATATATATATACATATACATATCATATACTTAATATATAGTCACCTACCATACACCCTAACAGGACGATTACGGGTGGAAGCTCATCAGTGGGGACGTCTTCCGCTTCCCCGTCTTCCGGGATGTGCTGTGTGCTGTTCTGGGCACAGGGGTGCAGTTCCTGTCCATCGCTACCACACTGATCGCCCTAGCACTCTCAGGCATCTTCAATACACACCAGCACGGCTATGTGAACACCGTGGCGGTGTTTATGTATGCCTTCACCTCGGGTATTGCCGGGTTTGTATCCGCCAAATGGTACAAACAACTGGTAAGAGACGCAGACTGCGTGTAGATACAGACGCATTGAATATAGTTGGTATATTGTGTTCCAGGGTTTTAAGGTTTGTGCCATCCAGTTGTTAACAGCAACTGGTAAGAGGCGTAGACTATGTGTACCAATAGATGTATTCAGTACAGTTCGTATATTTCATTTCAGGGTTTTGTGTCCGCGTCCTAAACCCAATAACATAGCTGTCTAATTTAGAAGGCTATGTCAACAACCCTAATTGTTTAGTAATAGGTACATTCAGTACAGTTGGCATATCGTACTCCAGGGTTTGGGGTTTCCGTGTCCGTCAATTGGTGCATCAGTACATATGGTATAGCTGTATTCATTATAACCATATACCACCACTAATTATTATACCCATATACCACCACTTTCCTCATTATAATCATCCACCACCACTACAATCATTATAACCATATACCACCACTATGATCATTATCAACATATATCACTACTACAGTTATACACACACCCATGCCCGATAACCATAGAACACCACTACAACCACCTAGCCATACACCACCCATGCCCAATAACCATAGAACACCAGCACTACCACCTAACCATGCACGGCCGTGTTGCGACCACACAGGGGGGCGAGCGATGGATCCGCAGCATTCTGTTCACAACTATCCTGTTTGTTGGGCCTCTCTTTCTGATGTGGTGTGTGCTCAACAGCATCGCCTGGCACTACAACAGCACACAGGCCCTTCCTGTAGCTACTGTGTTTGTGCTTATCTTCCTTTGGTTGCTGGTGGGGTTGCCTCTGACGGTGGTCGGCGGTGTGGTGGGTAAGAACTCGGCCACGACGTTTGATGCGCCTTGTCGAACGAAGGTCATTCCTAGGTATGCAATATGTATACACTGGCGCATATGTATATGTATATGTATATGTATATGTAAATATATAGTATATTTCATACGCGTCTGTGTACAATTCTATTGAAGTACATACTGCATTTTCAAGTATCCGTTTTAGCGAATCCTTCATGCTTGCGTATATCCATAGGCACGTACTGTTCTGTCCTAAGTCTCATCATACTTCGGTTTGTTACACACACACACATATATATATATATATATATATATCGCTAGAACCTAAAACTCTTACCCCTAAACCCCAACATCCTACGTTCCTACCTCCCTACAGAGAGATCCCTGCGTATCCATGGTACCGGTCACGTGGTGTGCACCTGCTTATTGGAGGCTTCCTGCCGTTCAGTGCTATCAGCGTGGAGCTGTACTACATATTCCTCACCCTGTGGGGCAGGCATCTGTACACACTCTATGGTATACTCTCGGCCGTGTTCTTTATTCTGCTGGTGGTGACGGCGTGTGTGAGTGTGACGCTGACGTACTTCCAGCTGTCCATGGAGGACTATCGCTGGTGGTGGCCCAGTATCTTCAATGTGGGGTATGTCTAAGTCTATGTCCCTATCACTGTCCATGCCCATACCCATTTCTCGTATTGCTCTACTATCATGATATGTGTGTTGATATGTTCCTGTGCACACTCTATGGTATACTATCAGCCGTTTTCGTTATTCTGCTGGTGGTTACGGCGTGTATGAGTGTGACGCTGGCCTACTTCCAGTTATCCGTGGAGGACGACCTTTGGGTTCGGTCCAGTATGTCCAACATGTGTGCCTGTATCTCGTTGTACTCTATTATTTATATTTATATTTATTTTATATGTATATGTATATATATATAATACATATATATATATATAATACATATATATATATATAAATGTGTATGTATGTATGTATGTGTGGCGGCGACGTATGTGAGTGTGACGCTAACTTACTTCCAGGACTGGTACTATACTATTGTACTCGAGATATTTCAGACAATGTAATGAATTCTTATAAGTACACCACGCCAAAAGGCAACTCTGAGAAGAAAATAGGCTGGGAGCCTGAGAAGTGATCCGTATTGTAGACGGATGATATGTTCCTTTGTCGGTGTGAGGATGTTGTAACCTAGCACACGTGTATTTGCAACTGTACGAGTATGTGTGTGTTGGTGATGATAGAACACTAAACCCTAAATCCCTGGGGCATACAAAATCCTGTCTCGCATGCATTCACCCTGGCCATCCATTCCCACGTGCTGATGCTAAAGCTCTAATACTAATTCCTTTGTGCACGTATATAATACTATTCCCCACAGGTTCACGGGAGTGTATGTCTTCCTGTACGCCATCTTCTACTACACATACCGCTCGCACATGTCTGGTCCGCTGCAAACAGCATCGTTCTTCGGATACACAGCTCTGATGTGTTACATAATCACTATGATGCTGGGCACGGTTGGGTTCTTCTCATCCGTACGCTTTGTGCGATATATATATGCGACGGTGAAGGTGGATTAAGGGAATCTGCTTGAATTAACAAGTATATATGAATGGCAAGGGAAAAGTGAAGTTTTGTATGTGAATGGTCGTATAAACAGCCGAGAGCGCACGAGAACAACCTCTGGCGTTGTTTGGGAATAGGTGGCTCCAAAGAATAAAGATCAAAATTATATACCCCTATGGTGTTAAATGGTGTGAAACGGTTGTGTTATAGTCTCAAGACTGTTTGTAGGTGTTCTTAAAATCCAACCGAAGACTTATTACGACTGTGGCGATGGCCAATACATAGCCAGTGGTGTGCCACCAATTTCCCGGTGTCGATAGTACGCTCCATTGTAGTCGACAGCAAGTGTGTGCGATCGTGAACCTTCCCATCGTATCAAGTGATTTGTCTTGCACGTGTGCAGCGATTCCTCTATGGATTGTTTTGACTTTACTTTTGGATTGTTGCTAACACTAGGACGGGGCTCGGTCACCACTCCCACATTGTAATAACTGCACGGACTATATCGTATAACACTGGCCCCTAAAGTGGGCAACAAAAACCAACCCTATCCGACACAAATATACCTCAGGGATACCAAGTAAAAACGTTATGAAGAAAGCATTCGATTGGATTGTTCAACGGATACAATGATATGTGGGAAGGCCGAGCTCCCGTACAAGTCAACAGATGTTCATATGCAGAGATTACGCGCAGTGCACATTGTGCATCATTTGAGTAAAGTTTCCAAGTCAACCAGGCATAATCAAGAGCTCACCTATTCAGATTGAGAGGATTTCGTATATACTGTGTGCACACGAAGTCGCATTCCCGTCTCAACGGATTGGCGTGCTAACTGTGCTGCACATATATTACAGTCCATTCAGTGGTGATTCGAATTGTTGTGCCGATATTTGACACAATGCCCTATTTATTGAGATATAACTTTTCAAGCTACAGGGCCTACTAGCTACCTAATAGTCCCCTTAGAAGAAGGGTCGACCATTTCACAAATAATTGTGCTGTGTGGTAAGTATTGCGGAAGAATCTCTGCCAACCAACCACCGTGAGACGTGTGCGTGGTGTACCTATGATAATTATCTGTGTATGTATTCATAACTTACATATAAGCATATGTGCTTCGATTTGCCTGTATATCAGCGGCGAGACTTGTTCCGGCGCTTTTCAAAAGCCCTCCAGGTCTTTTATTCTTTCGAGTTTGGTCCAGCACACATACCGCATACAATCAGTAGGTTATCTGACAACCCTCTGTACTAAATCGACTGCCTCTATGTGCCCTCAATTGTTAGGACGGGCCTTACTCAAGTATCATTCATCGGCGCAAGTGTCGTACCAATTCTGGTAATTCACGAGCTTTCCGACTAGTCACAAGGCGACGCGAACTACGTCAATACATATGATGTGAACACCACTTCTAAATACTAAATAAATGCCATAGCCTCCTGAGGTGGCTGTTTATGTCGCTATGGACTCGTGGAGATGTTCAAAAAGGGTGACGGGCTGACGCCTGACGGGCTCTTTATTCCAGTGTTCAGTGACCACCTCGTCAATTCTCGTTAATATTAAAATCGGCCCTGGCACTGCGGCAGTCGCCAGTGAAATTTGCATATAATTTATCACGTTTTCTAACGAAAAAAAAAGAAGTCTGGACTTGGACTCCCTTGGACTCTTGTTGCGAAGTCTTGGAGTTTTGGAGGCACTCCTCAAGTTCTGTCGTTATTTTATTATTATTTTTTAAAATACAAGTTCCAACATGCTCAGTGAGCTCACGCTTATATATTTTTATAAAAGAAATATAAAATAAACAATACACATTTAGAAATCTTCGGCTAATTTGGTTCGCTTTTTGTTTTGTGCCGAGTTACCGACCCTTCCATTGAATCCATTCCTTCCACGTGGTATTTATTTTGAAATAGGAAATGCGACAATAGACAGGCTCTGGTTATATTCCGACTCGGTCCACTCGGAACGTCGGAATTCCCAAAACTCGACCGTATCAAACAAAGCCAATGGCCACCCTATCCCTCTCGATTCGTTTCAGTGTTAAAAACGTATCTAATCAGTGAATATATTTACACACACTGTGGACGTTGATCTGTGAAGGCCCTTGGCCCTATATTTGTCGCTATAGGTGCATTTTATGTGTCCGTTTAATTCGCATAATGGGTCGATATTTGTTTTTCCAGTTTTTTGACCCGTATAAAAGTTTTAAAGTTTTCAAACGAAGAGATAAATAAGTGTTGTCAAGTTAAAAAAAAGGTTTCTTTTATTTTAATTTCCTGGATTTTACTTTATTTAGGAAGTAGGAGTATTTTTGGGATTATTTTATTTAAAAACTTGTTCAGATCCACTGATGAAGGGCTTTGAAAAAAATAATCAGTATTGTTTTCAGTGTTAAAAATCGTACTGTTAAGATGGCGACAGGACACAACTGCAAACTTTGAATTGTGAGGTGCTTGGCTCACCGCTTAGTGGCGCTCACTAGCTAGCTAGACATTTCAAATAAGGATAGTAGTCTGTGAATATTACCAATTGCTGGCTGCTGCACTTGCCACTGGTATCAAGTTATATTTACACAACTAGTTCACCTCAATAAACTTGGCTGGCAGCGACTATATAGCCGCGACTTAGCATTTAGTTCAAATAATAACAAGACAGCAGCTGTGTAGTGACTTACAGCGCAAACGCGATTCAAGTCACACACATATTAGGTATACAACACATCACAAACACCCACTCAGCCACCACTATGATCTCAGGCGAGACAAGTTCAGCCCACCCGCTCTCAGGCAAAACTGTACTGTTTATCAGAACGTCCGGTCTTGGTCGTTTGCAGCATTACGAACGTCTGAAGGGGCTAGGTGCAACTCTGTGGTGTTTTGAACAAGTCAGGAAACCCGCATTTGATCATGTTTTCAACGAATGGATTATCGGTGATGTGTTCAACGAAGTTGCTGCCGTAGAGACCATAGTCGGCTTTATCAAGGTAGGCTACAGACCCATCTGCACGAGAGTGCTTGCCGTCGATGCCTTGTAATTACACACCTTGCTCGTAATGTATATATACGCAGCTCATTATACACCAACTTACACCTCACTATAAACCTCAATATAACTACATCAATCTATATACCTTATACCTCCAAATTTATGTGCAATACGTATTTCTTGGATTGGTTTTGAATGCGATATTTTAAGACGTTGGTTTGTGTGTTTCTCTTCGCATGTATTCTGTGAGCAGTTATTCACTGTACATGTTGATATACACCTGTATTGTATATATGCATGTACTGTGCAGGAAGCTTCCAAACGTAGTCAGCTGTTTTGGCTGAAGGTTCAAATCAAAAATACATTTAGAATAAGAATGCTTTTATATTTCAAAGACATCGTAAGCTCGCAAATGAAGTGGATGTTTGTATCACGCACATAAATGGGTACGCATATACATATATATAATATATCTATATATATATATATATATGTATATGTATGTATATGTATATGTATATGTATATATATATATATATATATATATATATATATATATATATATATATATACATATATATATTGGTTATATATAT